AATCGAATATTAAACTTCAAAATAATCTTTTATCTTAAGTACTTTGGAGAAATTTACAATGTATTTATTAAAAAAATATTGAATATTTATGATTTAGCTATTCACGCATATATAAACAAAGTTTAGACTTTCGATATAATGGTACATTGCAATTATTTTGACTTATACAGTATTAGTAGTAACATTTAACAAATTTGATTAGATTATTTATGCATCGGAAAAAATCATAAAATACTTCAAAGAAAGAAATATGTATGGATTCATAGATTTGTTTGTTATTTTTCTCAATTTAGTTGTCAATTGGTAATAAAAAAGAAACAGTTAAATTCTTACTTTTATTTGTCTGAAAAAAAAATTGAGCGACATCTCTTTATACTTTCAAGGTAGTTTTCTTTCATTTCCATGACATTATGAATAATTTATGGTTCTTCTTTTACAAATCGTTCAATTTGTTTGTTCTAGATTTTGAATTAATTCATTCTGACTTGTTTTTTTAAAAAATACTATGACTCAACATGTATTCACTGATAAACATCAATCATCTCGTCGTTCTTCCGATAATCTTGATGATGATCGATCAAAAGTACTATCACATCATTTACCAAAATCATCTAATATTGTCGACAAAAATAATTCATCATTATCTGAAACTATTAACGAACCTGGTTCACGTATTGAATTTCTTGAACGAAATCTTCGTTATATTCAAGAACAACAAGAAATAGTACTTGTTGATTTACATAATGAAATTAGTCGACTTCAACAAGAAAATAGAGGTTTTAATAAATTTAATTAATTTAAAAAAAAAAAAAGAATTCTTTACATCTAGATCTTCATTATCGATTGATTAAAACTTATTCATTATCTTCAACAGAACAAAAACAAAGAAATATAGATCAATTATCTTCTTCATCTTCTCCAAATAAATCTAATCATGGTATGAAATTTATATAAAAAAAAAATTTCATAGAATAAATTTATTCTAGATAAATTAGAAAATCAAATTTATCTTAAACAACATATTGATAAACTTGAAAAACAATTAATTGAAAGTGAACAAAAGAATAAATATCTAATGAATACTATTGATGAATTAAATGATACTTTATCATCCAAAATTGAAATACCTAATATAAATATTTCCAATAAAGATGACATTCAAATACCAATACAAACAACGAATAATGAATGTCAACATTTATTTAATATGACATTTGAAAAAGAACAACAATATATACACGAAGTAAAATGATTATAATATTGAATTACTAATTATGTTTTGACCAGAATACAAGATATATATATATAACGGACACTGTTTTCTTATACATATGTTTAAAATCAAAGCTATATAGACCTCGAGACTGAAATGTATGGATATCTAGATCAAGATATAGTGAAACTAAAGGCAAAATTGATATTGATTGCAGGACTCACAATGAAATCATAAGGAGATCTCAATAAGGTTAGAAAACGTCTAAACAAGTCCGTTTCTAAGGATCTTTGAAGTCAAGTTGAAATCATTTTACTGAGTTATCGATCTATCTTTAGAGAAGTATTTGAAAAAAACTATGGAAGCCTACGGACACTGCTAAAATCGCGAAAAAAACACTTAAGTTCGGAACGAGTATCATATACATATTCATAGCTATTTTGATTTTCAAATAGTACAAGATGTTATATCAAAATAATCATGGATGTCAGTATGATCAGCAACTTTTACGTACACTCAAAAGTTATCCCTGCTTACGAATCATATTTTTGATTTAAATTATGAGGTTTATGGTTAGAACAAATTCATAGAGACTTATAAATGTAGTACAAGAATAGATGCTTAAAATATAAATAAAAGTTTAATACAAAATGTTCATTCAATTTTGAGAATATTTTAAATAGGTTCATGAATAACATTTGTCAATGGGTCCTTTCATGCTTCAATCAGTTATATTTTGTAGATAAACATTTCATTTTGAATTATGTTCATGATCAAGCTATAAAGTCGTAAAAAGAATTCTAAAATGTTACCAATGAAATTGTGGAATGATCTATAAACGAATGTCTTTAAAAAACTTCCAATCGTCTATTGACACTTAGTATCTTCATATTAAATTTTTTAATATCAAAAATCCAATTCGCGAGCATTTTATCGTTGGTAGAGAAGTGTTCGTGCCCATAAAAGTTTATATTTCAGTTGAAAACAAACGACATAGTCTAGAATGGGTGTCTGTTAGTGTACATATTTTAGGTCAAATAATCCGTAGAATATTCTGAAAATTGATGATTAACAAATAGATTCTCAAATTTTGACCAAAGAAATGTGTTTGATATTTTGAATTGATTTCAAAATATGTTTTTTGTTTCATTCAGTAGACACAAAGATGTAAGTTATTTTCGTTTATTAAGATAGTTAAATTACGATCTGTATTAGTTGAAATTCTCAATACTGAACACTTAAATATAACATCAAAAATTCTTATTCGTGATTGTTTAACATCAACAAATATGAGTGAAAATTCAATGAGTAAAACTACAACAACACCAGTTGATATGTTATATTTTAATGAAAACCAACAACAAAAAACTATTGCTTCATCATCAACAGCTGGAAAAACTTCATCATTTCGACAGTCAGTATTTTACTTCTTCTTCTTCTTTTTTTCTTTCTCTATGTTCTATTATTTATAATAATAACATAACAGAATCAATATATTTAAATAGTGAATTACCTGTTCGACGTTTGAATCTTTCACCACCACAAATAGCTGGACAGAGGTATCGTAATTATTGTTCTTGTCCTTTTTTTGTTTCACTATTGTATTTTTTTCTATCATTCAATTTTTACTAAATATAATAAATATTTTAGATCAAGTAGTCAACTTCGTCCAATTGAAAAACGTATTACTTTACCACCAATTGTGTCAGGAAATAATTCAACATTATGTCGTGGTAAGAATAAATATGTTCTATGCCATATAAATTATTGTTATTCTTATATATATATAGATCTAACAGATGTAAATGGTTTTTTGCACAACTCATCGAGTCCAAAAAATGAATCTCAAAATCAAAATTACATTAAATTTGGTGAAACATCAATAGCTCGACGAGAACGAGCTACTCATGAATTACAAAAAAATAGACTAATGAAAAGTCTTTATCATTAATCATATATTTTTATATGATATATATTTTTGTTTTTTTTTTTGTTTTGATATATGCCAGTTTTTGGTGATATGAAAATTAATTATATTTTGTCCATAATAAATATTAATAATTTATAGTATTGAACTTATTATATAAATTTATAAAATAAAATATTTGAATCAAAAATTAATCTTTTTATTTTTGTTTCAATTGACTTAAGCTTTTAGAACAATTTTAAATTCATTATTTGATGATGTCTATTCTGTTTCGAAACTGATAATGAATGATACAAGAGAATGAATTAGATAATACTATCCATTTGATTGATATTTCAATCGTAGAATTTTTATTGTATGTTTAATGTCCAATATTTTGTTTAGTGAAATACGATCTCAAACGAGTGTTGAAGTATAAGGGTAAAACTTTTGACTTCGTCTCTTTTCCTCGCATCACAAACCATGACAGGGGAGCTATTGATGTATAATCAAATAGCATCTACCAATAACATCTCTTTACAAAATATGAACTACTGCGTTAGTGAAGAAATATGTCACAAAATAGAGAGAATAGAAAAAAATCTTCCTATGATTAATAGCAATAATTGCATCATGTTTCACATTTTAATCCTACAAGGATTGTGTTAATAGCCTGTCGACTATTTCTGATAAAGATGATAAAATCAAGTGCATATTTTGCATGATTGATAGTGTTTATGAATATATAGATCCTTATTTCTTAAAATGATATATATCACCTCTTATGAAAAACTAATGAACATTGTTTTTTAATAAGGAATTAGTAACTTCTACGACATACGCATGATATTCATCTATACACCATTCTTTCTGTGGACAATGATGAGGAACAGTGAGACACTCACATAGAGCACATGAACAGGGTCTATTGACTATGAAAGTGACATTTTTTTCTTGCAAAAAATGTTAATTCTATAATCAATAAAACTACACATTGTTCGTTGAAGTTTCTTCCATTGATTTTATCTTAGAGCTCTAAGAAAATGTGAACATTTAGTTTACTGAAGATGCCTTTTTCAATAGTCTTTTAGTATAGAAAGAAAGATTGCCTTTATCTAATGAAAAAGAACTAAAAGAAAATTGTTTTACAAATCAAGAGAGCAAACATCCTACTTACAAAATATATACAATTTACTAATCGACTCTTTTTATTTTATTTGAAAAAAATAAATTTCCTTTTGACGCTTGAGAAAAATGTTTTTATTTTTTGACTAGGATTTTTCTAATAAACTGAAAAGTTAAAATAATTATCAAGATTTATTTATTGTTAGTAGAAAACTTGCAAGAGCTAAAAGAGTGCATAAGTATATTTTTCCTAATATGTGTAATATTATCTTATTGTTCAGAAAACCTACTAAGATTTTGTTAAACACATTTCAAAGAAATATTCCTTTTGAATAACTGTAATTTAAGATGTCCTTGAATGTTCTTTACGTAGCATATACAGATAACTAGCAGGCTATTCCTCCTTAATATTATGACTATGAAAATTCTAAGACTCTCTAATCGTCATTATCCGGTTGTATAATTAGAAAAATATTCTTTTCATATCAATGAAAGATGTACGGCATATCATCAAATTGTCAAGGCTAACTTTTCAATAGAAAGATCAGAGAGAAAGAAAAGAATAATCATTTATTAAATTTTACTTCATCTTTAATTTATGCATTTTTGAAGCAAGTATATAATGTAAGTGGAACAAGTATTCATATCCATTATGTTACATAATAATAAAAATTTAAAAATATCTTCCAACTTATTATATTCAGAAGAACAAGGACAAATATTATTTACGTGAAATTTCTCAATCAATTATTAATAATGGTCAATTTTGAACAAATATTTTCTCTTCTTCGAATTATTCTATTTGCACTTATTACTTTAGTCGCTTTAATTTATGCCATTCCAATTATATTTATTCGTCGTTTTCATCATCGTAATATGATACTTACACTCAATATATGTTCAGTTACCATATTCTGTTCTCTCTATTGGACTATCTTTTATGCAATATTACAATTGAATCCTTTGCTTATTTACAAATTTATGTTAAAGTCATGTACATTCGTAATGATTTTCTCAACATGTATAACTCTTCAAGTTCCTTTTAGTTTTATTACAGCTTCAATTTATCGTTTTTGTTCTGTAGTATATTATAATAAGAATTTATTTAAAACAAAACAATGGGTTTTCATTTGTATTGTATGCCAATGGATATTTGGACTTCTAATGACATTACCAGTTTTATTAGGCATACAACCGGTAGGTATATCTTTTTCTTTTTTCGTATATTCATCTGTTTTCTACTTTGTTCTTTTTTGTTATAGTATTGTGTTACCTCACAATGGGTAGAAATATATAAGTTGATATTTATTGTCATTGTTCCATCAATTGTTTTTCTTATTCTTAATATTTTCATATATGCTACTGTTCGTTCATCATCTCATCGTATTCAACCAAGTTCATTATCGGTGATGGGAAACACTTCTAGAAATGTTCAACAGGAAAGAATGAGTCGACGTGATATTCATCTGCTTCGACATATGATAATAATGTTTTTAATATTTATTGGAGGATGGACTCCATTATATGCACTATTTGCTATTCAAAGTCAAGTTTTAGCTAATCCAATGTTGTCTAAATGCTTTACAATTTGGTGTCAGTTAGCTTTTTTATGTGACATTATTGATCTTTATTTGTACAATCATGAACTGAGAAATTATCTTAAAACAATGTTTTGTCGATGTTTATAATCGTAGAAGAAGATATTCATGAATCTTATTTTAAATTAACAATAATTCATAAAAATACTAATATTCAAAAAAAAAAGATATACCCACCCAGGTCTATGGATACGGCTATCCGTCTTTTCATCGTAAATTTGCTTCATACGACACCGTAAACGGACCGCATTTTCACAGTATACGGGGCGTAATCTCATTATGATAAGGCCGTATTTCTGTGCCCGATATTACGGCCGTATACGGTTCGTTTATGCGTCGTAAGGTAACCGTAAACGGTCGTTTACGGACCGTATCGTTCGACCTGGGTAGAAAATAATCGTTTTCATGTCAGTTTTTCCATAAATAATAAAAGACTTTTTTTCTAAGAGCATCCTAACTCTAGTGATAAAAAATAAACCTTAGAGCTCTAAATCAAAAATGAAAATTTAATCATTACATACTTATCAATTTTAGAAAAAAATCTTTTATTCAAATACCCCAACTTTAGAATAGAAAAACAACTATGGACATAGATCAACAGTAATTAAAATTTCTCATAGTTGTAAAGATTTAATTTAATGATCATGAATTTTACACGAAAATAATCATATATACTGATTTGTAAACAATAATCGATGAAAAAAAATTATTGAATTTAAAAAATAAATATACTCAGAAATATTTTAGTTTTTATAAAATAACTTAAACGAAAAAGTACCTGAAATGAGACTGAGCCGTTTTATTTCATGAAAATTTTTTTCAAACTATTGATAAGCATCATATACTTGTCGAACTGTTATAAATTTAAGTACAGGACCACTTGTCATATCATCATTAATAACGATCGTTTCAGTACCAGTTTTTAACATTATTACAACTTTACATTCACGATTAGTATTTGCAATAAGTGGACCTATAAGAAATGAATTCTTCTCATTAAAAAGAATCAATAATATTCGAAAAAAAATATTTTTAGCTTCAATAGTAGCCATTGATATATATTCATAAACGAATCAGAAACGCGAAATACACAGAAGATGAATCGATTAATCTAAATTTGAATTTAACCAAACAATAGCTATGTTGTTCGTCGAGATTTTTTCATTGAGTTCTATTTCCATTGACTCATTTGAACATATAATACTTTATGGGATGATTACAAGGTAGATGTCACCATTAAGTGAACTCTTAGCTATGTTGGTGTGAATTTTTTCATTAGTTTGTTTAACCTAACTACCCAGGTCGAACGATACGGTCCGTAAACGACCGTTTACGGTTACCTTACGACGCATAAACGGACCGTATACGGCCTTATCATAATGAGATTACGCCCCGTATACGGCCGTATACTGTGAAAATACGGCCTCGTATACAGTGCCGTATTACTGTGCTCATGATTACGAGAAAATACGGTCCGTTTACGGTGTCGTATGAAACAAATTTACGGTGAAAATACGGATAGCCGTATCCATAGACCTGGGTATCATTTTTAAGAATGAAGAATTTAAAAGAAACAAAGGATTTATGTATAATGAATACTTCAAGATAGATGGTAATATCAGTATCTCGTACGGAATTCTATCTTGAATATTTTAAAGAGAAATTCAGGTGTGGACAATAAAAAATAGTCAAAATATAAATAGTAGATTGAGACTACCGTTTATTTTATGGGTATTCTTTTTAGATTTATCATTATTGCTGTGTCTTATTATAAGTTAATCTATGGCTAAGCCTCGTGAAGTTCCCAGGTGAATGATGCCCGGCCGTAAACGGCTGTGGGTGTGGGTGTGGGTGGATGTGCGTGTGAGACGACACTGAAGAGACCCACATCCACATCGATAACTACACCCACACTCGAATGGCCGCGATGAACTATGTGAGAGGACGCATTAAAGCATTAGTATACAGAGAATTTTCAATGCATCGACATGTTTGACCATATGCGTAGCAAAGAAATAACGCGGCAAGAGAGAGCGAGAGAGAACGTGAAAGAGAAAAAGTGTTCTTCTCATTATGTTATGTGCATGAGTTTTCTCTTCTAACAAAGAAAAAGAATAGAAAGAGAGAAAAATGGAACTCCCCTGTTGCTGTTCATTTTTCTTTTCTAACGATCTGCATCAGTCACGATGTGTATATCACACGGTATTCCTTGCGTGAGTAATTTTTTTATATGACATTTTTAATTCTAAATGCATAATTTATCTGAATCGTCAAGAGGTTTTTTTCGTTTCTTTTTTGCACGTACGTAACAAAAGTTCATAGTATCTATTCTGATGATAATGTGAACGGAAAAATAGAAAACAGAAATCATTGAAACGCGGCACAGGAAGAGTCTCTAAAAACGTGAAATTCGCTGGAACTCACTGGTAGTTCTATAAGATATTCGTAGAGAGTTTCTATTTCCAGCAAGTGAAGATAAACACTTAAAGTTCCTGGTGACTTCCTAGCGATTCGTCAAGAAATTATGAGAAAATGTAACAATACGTTCATCGTTTTCGTATGCGTCTATCTATGTAATTCAGCTATGATTTCAAAAATATAGTTCTTTTTTTTCCAGACTATTTTCTTTTAAAAATCATACATATTATTTAGACTTTTCGCTGAGCCTCTTGGTAGTCAATTCGTCGTTTCGATGAGAATTGATTTTTAAACCTAATGATTGGTCTATTGAGACGAGGCTTCCTAAGTGACTCTATCGAAAAGTATCTATACATATCCATAAAAAGATGACACATACTCTTCTGAAAAATGGTTCACTTTAATAGGAAATTTTTTCTATTCTAATAATTTTTTAGGATAGTATCAGCTCGTCTATTTCATCACCTGCAGCTCCAGCACCAGGACCAATCATCGTCAACGAAGAAGAAATGGAAGGCTTTACTGATCATGTAGATGATATGTTAAAAGAACACGAAGAAATTCAACAAGCATTGCAACAAAAAGACATTGAACTACAACAAATTCGACAAACACTTGAACAAAACAAACACAACTTACTTCATATTTTTCAAGTAAATTTTTTGACCTACCTTTTTGATTATCGGAAATGAAAGAGCATGTAAAAAAACCTATAAAGATAGAGTGAGAAAAGCTGCACAAGATGTATCTAAAATAATATCCAAAAAATATGAGCATAATAGTTATATTTAGTCCAAAAGATAAAAGAAAGCTAATATTTTCGACTTACAGGTTTTTTTACGTGCTCTTTCATTTGCGATAATCAAAAGAGGTACATTAAAATTTTTGTATAACACTTGTTATTTCAGGTTTACCTGCAAAATGTTCTTTTGGTCTACAAATCAACAACAGATTTTCTTCCGACATTGTCATAAAGGTATGAACATGTTCAAAGAAGTATTGGCAAATATCTATATCATTTTAGTTGTTCGACAATGTTGCACCGCGAACGTGTTGTAAGTTCTTGATTATTCTTTTTGTGTCAATGTTGTTTTTGCATTTTATAGCTTATTTTCGAACAATAATCTCATGTAAAAGTGGTTATGGTTTTCAAAACTCAAAGTTTGATTATTTGGTTGTCGACAAATATCTTCAAGGTAAACATTTTTGTTCATATGAATAAATCTGAACATTTCATTCATTTTTTGTTCCAGGAGGAGAAGTTATGGCGTTTGCACGTGATGGAACTCGGTGAAATATTTTTATTATTTTTGTTTCAGTATTTGCCTTCATATTTCTAGTATTCGTCATACAATTAAGAAAGAAATAAATGATTTAACTCATAATCGCGAAGGTCTTATCAGTATGAATATCAAAACAATGCGATTCGGAATTACTTTAGGTAAATAATTTCTTTTTCGAGTAATATTAATAACTGACATATTATCATTCTTCATTTTTTAGGACCAATGCCAATTTTCGATAACAATAAGACACAGGTAAATATACATCATTTATAATATTCATTAAACTTGCTTCTTTATTTTAGGTTATCTTTGGTGAAATCGAAACGAGAATGAAAATTATTCAAGTAATCAATGCACGAGGTATGTTCAACTACTTTGATTTTAGTTTTGATATATGTAACATTTTCTCATTTTAGGTATTCATCATGATGGTACTGGTGTTCGACGTGCTATTGAAGCTTATGTTGTAGATGATGATTTTCATGCTGATGCTCCATTAGATCTTGTCAGTATTGGTGATACTCGACCTAGTGCCGGTGATGTTGGTGGTCAACCAATAGACAATGTCGTTATTTACACTTGTGGTCAAAGAAATTAACTTTTTTTTACCTGTCGTTATTTTTTATCTAAAAACATTAGCAGCTATATGTCTTCGTTAAGGTTTTGTTAAGAATAAACTTTAGATTCAACTGTTGATAATATAGATAAAATCGAAGGATTTAATATGGTTATTTGTTGTTGATGAATAAGACTACGATACATAGCTGAACAAGAATCCAAAATTAAAAAGTCTAATAACAGAAAAAAATACAAATAATTTTTCTACCATCATTTTTTGATAGAAGTGGTGATTGTTTACCATCACTGATGAATGTTTCAACTTTATCACCATCAGATGTTTTTCCAATAAATATATCAAATATTCGTGTATATCTTGACATTTGAGGTCCAGGTAGTGCAATAATAAGACATTAAACAAATAGACGTAGGTGAACTTAGCACCAGATTTGAGTAAATCCAGCCAAGATTCGCCCAGGAACATGTTCCAAATGTCCCATGGTGTGTTCCAAGTACAACTCGATGAGTTCTATCGAATGGTGTATTCCAATTCACAATAGCTCAAACTCAGTCCAAGAAAACCAGAAAATACCAGATTTTCACCAAGGGCGATTTTGCATCCATCAACTAAAACCTGCCAAGATTCACCTAGGAGCATGTTCCAAGTGTTTCATTCGTGTTCCAAGTACAACTTGACGCGCTCTATCAAATGGCGTGTTCAGATTTTCCATAACTCAAACTGAGTCAGAGAACATTTAAAAATACTAGTGTATCACTACAAAGATCCGGAGTTTTATGCATTAAAACCAGCCAAGATTCGCCGCGGAACATGTTCCAAATGTTCCATTGGTCTTCCGAGTAAAACTTGATGAGCTCGATCGAATGGTATATTCCGATTTCCAATAGCTCAGACCAAGTCCAAGAAAATAAGAAAATACTAGATTTTCGTTATCAGCGATTTTTTATCCATCTACTAAAAGCTGGCAAGATTCGCCTAGGATCATGTTCCAAGTGTTCCATTCGTGCTTCAAGTACAACTTGACGCGCTCTATCGAATGGCGTGCTCAGATTTTCCAGAACTCAAACCGAGTCTGAGAAAAATTGATAAAACTAATATATCACCACAAAAATCCTGGATTTTATACAGTAAGACCGGCCAAGATTCGGCCAGGCGTATGTTCCAAACGTTCCACGAGTATTCCAAGTACAACTTGATGAGCTCTATCGAATGGTGTATTCCAATTCGCAATAGCTCAAACCAAGTCCAAGGAAACCAGAAAATACTAGATTTTCACCATGGGCGATTTTGCATCCAGCTACGAAAAGCTGGCAAGATTCGCTCAGGAGCATGTTCCAAGTGTTCCATTCGTGTTCCAAGTACACCTTGACGCGCTCTATCGGATGGCGTGTTCAGATTTTCCATAACTCAAACTGAGTCCCAGAAAATTTAAAAATACTGGTGTATCACCACAAAAATCCAGGATTTTATGCAGTAAAAGCTACCAAGATTCGCCGAGGAACATGTTCCAAACGTGAGGTGTGGATGTGGGGTGTGGGTGTCGGTGTGAGTAAAGCGAGAATTAGAACCGACACCCACACCCACACCCCAAGATTTCAATTATAGATCCATCAAGTTGAGGTGAATCTTAAAGTCGACCATTGATACGATTTTGAGAATCCTTTGGAAAAATTTAGTTTTTTTTCTTTTCATATATATATATATATATCATGAAAGATTACTCACTCCGAATCGACTCTTTTCAAAAGCTTGTTCATAAGATTGTTCAACGTCTTTTGTTTGTATAACATTAATTGGCAAACGAGATGTTGTCATTAAAGAAAGACTTGCTCGAGCATTATTACTAATCTAAGACAAATCACAATTACTATGCAACAAAAAACAAAAATAAATCCTCCGAACTAACATGTTTAACATCAAATCTTACAATTCCACCAATTAATATTGTTTGTCTAATATCTAATAAAATATTCACCAGTTGAATAACAGCTAATTGATGACCGAAATATGAAAGTTCTCTTTGCTTATTACATTTATTAATCATCTTCAAGAAGAAAAAATAATAAATTAAAATTTAATAAAAATATAAATTTTTATTTTTACTTGTTCAGGTAAAATAACTCCAAGTGTATCATTAAGCCATTTTTCATTTTTATATTAATCAGGATTAAAAGCTCACATTTTCTTTTGTCGATAATTTGTATGATTATCGACAATTAATTCAAATCAACGATCTTCGTTAAAAGAATTTTCACCAGAACAATATGTATATGATAGATCACATTTTCATAAATTCATTTCAAATTCAAATCGACGACGTGATTTTACCGTTGATTCAGTATTATTGAATATATTTATTTGAAATAGGTAATAGATATCGATTCTATGTCGAAATTCGGTTGCCTCTTTATCAATGTTATTAAAATGAGGAAGTTTGTTGCTGAATATTTTTCATTATCAATATGTTTTTTAAAACAATTCTATTCGTATATAGAAACTTTCTTATCTGTACTTGATAAAAATGTATTCTTCTAGGATCAATAAAATATTAAATACGACTTAGAATAACACTTCAATATTTTCATTGCATACCGTCAGAGCAACCGCCCATGATTTCTAACACCTTGAGCGACCTCTCTTTTCATCCAATTTTTGCATATAGGTAATTTCTATGTCTATCAGACTTTAAAGTATTATTTTATTATTTACACATATTAAAAATAAAAATCAAGTTTGGTTTTACACGTCAATCTTTTTAATAGATAATCATGTGAACCATTGATTGGCATTAAATGATTCAGCCAGTATTCAAAAAAAAAATTCTTTTTTTGGAAAAATGTTAACTATTCGAAAAATATCATTTGTTCAGCGTTCAATATCAATTGGAATTAATGCTCGTCGTTTTCGATCAACTCGTCGTTCATCTCAAACATCCTTATTTGATAAAAAATCATATCATCACTAAAACAAAACCTGTTTCATTAGATAATCTTTCACCTGTTGTTCGTCAGATTCTTTCTAAAGATCCATCGTATGCTGTTCGTTTTGTGGTCAATTATCTCAAAATAAACAATATCTTGTTTAACAACATTCAAGAACAACTGGTCGAGCTGAAAATCTCTTCTCGACAAATACCAAAAGATGATTTTATATTAGAAACAAATGAAGATGAAAATGATTTACCTCATCCTCCAATTGTTGCTTTTCCATCAATAGAAAATCATTTTCATATGGATTTAGAAACAGAAGATCCATCAATACCAATTCATGAAACAGCTCGTTGTTTTGGTTGTGGAGCTTCACTTCAATGTGCTGATAAAACTAAACCGGAAGATATTCTTTTTTTAAATATAATCATTTACTTATTTATTAATCAATATTCTAGAAGTTTTATACCAGTTGAAATATAGGGTGTTTCATAAATTTTGAGGCTTGTTAAAAATTAACTTTTATGTGAACAAAAAACGATCTCAAATCAAATGTTTTTATATGAAATGTAAGTACTCGTGACGGGCTTTCAAATGGTGTATTATGATAATATATCTTCTCTTGTAATAGAAAAAATATGGGTATGACAATGTTATGATAAATTTTTCGAAATCGACCAGCATGAATTTTTACAGATTTTTTTTTAATAAAGTTTTAGGCTCATTTTTCATTAAAAAAAGTGTAGCAAGAGCCAAGAACTAGTGATCTTAATCGGTTATTTGACGCTCATTATGGAGCATAGATCACATGTTTAACCTCACTATATACTCAGTAATCGAATTGAAATGGATAAAATATATGAACACATCACGTGACTGTGTAGAACGCAAAATTGTTTTTCATCGGTAACGTTCAAATCTTTTTCTTATTTGAAACGTTTATTAGATTCAAAGTGTGATTGTTCATTTTATTACTGGATTTGGATAAGACAAATAAATCATCGAAAAATACATGACTATTACTATTATTCTTATATTTTCTTTTTTAATTCAGTTTTATTTGATTATTTTATTTTATTTGATGTTCGTTTCGACATTTACGATATATTTTTAACCTAATGTCTCGTAGACAAGATCGACAACAAGAGAAAGAATTATTTCGACCACTTGTATTATTATTACATCGTCAAAATCCTAGCTGGACTGTGCCTGATATTGCCGATTTCTTCGAACAATCAGATAATCCACCAAATTTAAATCGACATGCTTTAGTAAACAAAATTCATTATATATTAGCAAGAGGAACAGTTTGTGAAAGAAAAAGATCTGGTAGACCACGAACAACTACAACTGCATCTTATAGAAATTTAGTATTAAAAAAAATTCAAAACCAAAATAAAGCTAGTGTTAGAAATGTATCAGTAAAATTAAAAAAATTGGTTGGAAATCGTCACCATCTCCAGTTTACAGGGTTGTCCAATCAGTCGGATTAAAATGGTTTAAAAAAAGAAGAACACAAAAACTGACATATGATAATAAAGTACAACGTGTTAAATGTGCAAAGAAGTTAAGAAGAAATTTTGGTGTTACAAAAAGATCAAGTAAATGGATATGGGATAAAATTATTAACATGGATTTTTCGGAAAAGTTCACCTTAGAATCATATTCAAATCCACACAACGAAGGTATTTGGGCAACAAGATTTGAAGAAATGCTATCAACATCCCGTGAACGACCAACAAGAAAGTTTGCAAGTGGTATTGTTTTTTGGGGTGGTATCTCATACGAAGGACTAATTCTCAAAAACGGTCCAATTGATGCGATATTATGGTTGAAAAAGCAACCAACAGATAAAAAGAAAAGAACTTATATAAATGGTCATTTATATGCTAAATGTATTAAAGAATTTGCTCATCCAGAAATTCAAAAGGTATGTGGAAGAGGCAAGGGGGAAAAAGCGAAATTTTCAGAGTGCTTACTCCCACCATACTCCCATTGTACTCCCATCGTACTCCCATTGTACTCCCAGTATACTCCCATTGTACTCCCACCGTACTCCCACCATACTTCCACCGTACTCCCATTGTACTCCCATTGTACTTCCATTGTACTCCTACCGTGCTTCCACCGTACTCCCATCGTACTCCCACTGTACTCCCACTGTACTCCCATTGGACTCCCACTGTACTCCCACCGTACTCCCGTTGTACGTCTTCAGAATCCATTTTATTTTGCTTTATAGCATCTGTCTTTACTACACCTTAACTATATTTCAACAGATGAAACATAGCGTTTCCATGCGCTACTTAGAAAAATTTCAGATGAAAGTAAAATCCATGTATTTCTAAAAATTATTTTTTGCAGCCGCATCCGTATAACTTGTGATAATGAATGTGAGTTTCTGGGAACTCATTATAGCATCGTAAAAAGAGTACCTTAATATGATGAAAACTAGCTTCTTTGTTTCATACGCATGCTTATAAGAGTGGTGTCGTGAAAATAGTTACTGTTTTCAACAAGTGAATCTCGTTGAATGAAACGCAATATATATGAAGAACATTCATTTTATTTTTTTTCTTAAATCATTCATATTGTCTTATTGATTCATCCACAGTTTGTAGAAAGGGTGTGGGTGTGGGTGTGGATGTGGGTGTGGGTGGATGTGGGCGTGGGTGTGGGGTGATTGTAAGTGTGGATATGAATAGAGAACAGAACTACACTGACACCCACACCCATACCCATACTCACCCACACCTACACCCACACCCACACCCACACCCACACCCACACCCACACCCACACCCACACCCACACCCACACCCACACCCACGCACCCCACACCCATCTTGACATATGACTCCAACGTAACTATCTGTTACGACTCAGGATTTTGTGCTCTTTCTATTGGCATATGATGCATTGGATTACATTCACATTTCGTAAAATTCTAAAAAATAGTTATTTTGAAAATAACAATCACTCCGCACTATTCTCAAATAAGATCCTTGAAGGCTTTTAACTCAGTTATCAATGATTACATTCAAAGTAAAAGAGAAGCAATTTAGTTCTCGTTTTATAGAAGCGTTTGAGAGACCCGAGACCCCAACAACTTGATAAACGACATGAAACAATAGCTCTTTTTGTATGTTCAACATTTCTTGGCAGTCTAGGTCGTGCTGCATTTCTGTTTTCACCAAAATGCTTCATTTAAAGCCACATAGAATAGTATTCTGACTCGTCCATTATAGTTATCTGTATCCTTCAAAACGGCTTATAAGCATGTGATGAAATCGATCGTACAATTTAAAACATCCTTTTTTCGGTCAAAGAACGATGCACATATTTTAAAGCAGTGTATGTCGTTGTGAAAGACTTATCTTTAAAAAAAAGTTTCAGGTTATCAATTGAAAGAGTCTTTTGATAAAGTTATTAAAGAATTAGAAAATTAACAGGCATGAAAGAGAAGTCTTTGGCTGTGCACTCAATTTCATCCGATGTTTATGAGCCATGCAAAACAACAGAAATAACTCTATCGGATGGGTGAAATACCTCTACAAACTAAATTGGATATATGAAAATAGTGCATGACATTAGATAACATTGGCTAGTTTTAGCTCTGGGGAAAATTCAAATCTTTTTAGCTAAGTTTTCTAAAAGTACACTGCCAATTCGAGTATTCCCTAGACTGAAAGGATAGGGTCTAGAAACCGTAATTCACCTGTGTCTGTTTGTCCGTCTGTCTGTCTGTCTGTCTGTAACAAGCGCTTGGTACAAATGACCATTTCCATGGCACAAATGACCATTTTTATGGCACAAGACCATTTTTATGGCACAAATGACCATTTGCATGACACAAATGACCATTTTTATGGCACAAACGACCATTTCCGTGGCACAAATGACCATTTTTATGGTACAAATGACCATTTCCATGGCACAAATGACCACTTCTGTGACACATATTATGGCTGGATCTACTGAAGTGGCACGCGGAGCAGCCGTATATAATGAGGGAGCAAGTGAAGGGGGCAAGGTGGAGTTTCAATAAGGAGCTTCTATCCCTCCATCGCTAAGTTTCGGAAACGCGTGGTCCTATAGCCAAGAGGGACTCAACCGCTTGCCTCTCTGCAGGAATTTGTGAAGAGGGTATTGTATTGGCGAGGATGCTGAGAGCTTTCCCTGAGCGAGAATCGTGGTTTGGGCACTGCTTTGCACCTGTTTTTGGCGTTGACTTCGGATGCGTTTTTTTTAGTTACTGTGCTTGTCATTTTTTTATTTTCGTCGCATCTGTGCCGCACTTTTACTTAATCTCCATGCGCTATCCTCTTCTGTCTTAAACTTATGCGGCTATGCCTTCGGAATTTTCAGGATCTCTCAAAGAAATAGTCGCCATAGTTCGCTGCTCATACGTTTGCATGGGTGAATTCTGTCAGTCTAGGGCCCAGTGAATCGATTTTCGATTCACGTTACTTGTAATTATGTAGATAAAATATTTCTGATAGCAGCAACGATATTCAGAGAATATATATCGAACTAGACTGTAGAAAGAATATTAGATGAAAAAAAATCAGATAAAAGAAAATCCACGAGTAAGGTTAGTGACGATGTTAGATTGGAACATAAGTTCTGCACGTTCTTTTTTTTTGTCTTTTAGGCAAATTCGAGGCTTTATATCTTGTGATTGGAAAGAGTTAGGCCTAAAATTTTCAATAAAGATAGATCTTTATGAGTAATATCTACATTAAAAATTTGAAACCTCTAACTCACTGCAATCACGAGATATAAAGCGTCAAATTTGCCTAAAAGGCAAAAAACACGTGCAGAACTTATGTTCCAATCTAATAGAATAGCACTCAAATGCATTCAAAGAGATATAATTCTAACGACGCGAAACAGTCACAAATAATGCCAAAAAATGGTTTGTGTTGTACATATTCTTTTATCATTTTTAAAACCATTGTTACTTAGTCAAAAATAGCCATTTTAATGGTTCCCATGTGAGCCATTTTTTGGGCCTTTTTTGTGACTGTTTCGCACCATTAAAATTATGTTTGTTTTACTGCATTTTAATGCCGTTATAACATTTTTATACTTGGCTGGGATGTACTGTTATTATACTTCTCTTGTACTTTCATCATACTTCTTTGTACTTCCATCGTACTCCCATTGTACTCCCATCGTACTCCCACCGTACTCCCACCGTACTCCCACCGTACTCCCATCGTACTCCCAGTATACTCCCATCGTACTCCCACTGTACTCCCATCGTACTCCCACTGTACTCCCATTGTACTTCCAAAAGTATGGGAGTAGATGAAGTATCGCTTTTTCCCCCTTGGGAAGAGGTCTTATATCTCAAGACGAGGCTGACTCAAAACAACGAACCAAAATTGTATTACGAACTGTTGATAAATTATTTAATGATCGAATTTTACCAGAAGAAGGTGATGCTAAATTTGCCGATATCTGGCCTACTGAGAATATATGGGGGATTCTAAAGGAAAAAGTACAAGGCGAACAATTTTCAAGTTTTGAACGGCTAAAAAAAAGATTGAACGAAGAATGGAAAAAGATAACTTTTGATGATTGTAAAAAGTTGATTGATAAAATTCCTAATAGACTCGGCGAAGTGATTAAAAATGGTGGAGAACAGATACAAGACAGTTAAGCCATATATTTGTCTAATAGAATTAATATTTTTCTGTTAACAAGAATACATTTTTTTTAAATAAAAAATTCGTGTTGGTCGATTTCGAAAAATTTATCATAATATTGTCATGCTTATATTTTTACTATTACAAGAGAAGATATATTATTATAATACACCATTTGAAAGCCCGTCACGAGTACTTACATTTCATATAAAAACATTTGATTTGAGATCGTTTTTTGTTTACATAAAAGTTAATTTTTAACAAGCCTCAAAACTTATGAAACACCCTGTATATAAACATTATCTTTTAACAAATTTACCAAAACGAACAAGTCAATGTCAAAGATGTTTTCTTTATAAATATACAAATGATATATCACATTGTGAGGTTAATGAACAAGTTTATAAAGATATTTTAACAGAAATAAAATGAAAATGTGCTTTAATTATATTAATTGTTGACCTTCTTGATATATCAAATTCAATTAGTGGATCATAGACACATCTTGCTGATCAAATAACAGATAATCATAATAGTTCAGCAAATATTATATTTATTCTTGGCAATAAAGTTGATTTATTACCAAAAGGTAGATTTTTTAGAATTAAAAATAGTTTGTTCTTACACAAATCGAGTTTAGGAAACTTTTTGTATATGTGTGCAAAAAACACGACTAGTTCAAAAGATGTATCATTGACTTCAGCGTCATTTCTCCCGAGTTTCTTAGCACTCACTCCACCGATTCATAAAAAATAAGGAATAACCCATATACTGGCAATATTTTTTTCAAACTTGAGAAGGATTATATAAAGGATATGTTCGAACTGATAACAAATGTATTTTAGACAGTGAATCTTATTTGTCTGATGTTCGTCAATGTCTGGAAGGTAAGACGGAATTTCGACAATAAGAATTTCGCCATCGGGATTTCGGCAATGTCGAATATTCAGGTAGAATTTCAAAAGTTTTCGAAATTCCACCGGCATTTCGACAATATTGTCGAATTTCCATTATTGTCGAAATTCTTACAGAATTATGACAATAACAATTATTAATGTATATTTTATTGTCCAATTTCTTTCGGAAATACGACAATATACATGGCAAGTGGAACTGCAATGTATGGTAGAAATGCAGTTTTCTTAGTTTGAGAGTTAACATGAAGAAAATATATAGCAAGAACCAGATGTCGCATAATAAATTAATTGTAAGTTTATTTTCTTTAATTAACATCAGTAACAAAATAAAGAAAAGAAAATAAATACAGCAAACTAGCTTGAGAGTGGCTGTAAATTAGTGGCGTAACCAGGAGTTTTGTGTGTGCTGTATCTCAGCTACAAAGCATGGGACCCAGATGAAACTTATGGATGATGATATCGGACTCAAATGATGAGGTTTTATGAAAAACTTTTTGCAATCTTGTTTGGGATCAAGAAAATGCTAATATTTTTCACAAACTTCAATTGCAAAAATTTTTCATAAATCCTCATTATTTGAGTCCAATATCGCCGTCCATAAGTTTCATCTCGGTCCCATGCTTTGTGACTGAGATGCAGTATACACAAAGATCCTGGTTACGTCACTAGTGTGAATGTGAATGCGGGTGTCGGTGTGTGATGATAACCTTAGTGAAACATTTTGTAAGCAAGATCTTGACCAAGATACAAGGTACAGAAAAGTGAGTAGATCTTACAAATCTAGGTACCAGATAATGTGATTATCTTGTACCAAGATCTGTAATTAGAACTTAGGTACAGATTTATAAGATCCTGGCTGAAATATCTATGGTCTGAAACAATCACTAGAATTCATTCATGGATAACTGTGAATACTTTTAATGTAGCCTTTCCGATGTAAAATTTCACGCTGAATAGGAATCTGCAGCCAAGTTTCTATTACAAACACAAGAAACTGAGTTAGTGACTAATGGTCAATTCGAAAACTGTTCGAAATCATCATCATAATGAACACCCTTGAATGCACATCACTTATTCTTGAACAACTTGGCACAATCACATTGCAAACAGTAGCAAAATTATGTTTAGTATTATTATTAAGTCAAGATCTTGAGCCAGATTTTAATATCTTGAAAGAGAAATGTCATATTTTTATACCTTAAGTGCATCATATAAATCTGTACTCAAAATCTACTTACAGATCTTGGTACAAGATAATGTGATTATCTTGCACCTAAGTCTGTCAAGATCTACTCACATCTCTATGCATTGTATCTTGAATCTTAGGTACAAGATCTAAGATCTCGCTTACAAAATGTTTCGCTAGGGATTAATACTCACAACCATATCCACATCCACCCGCGCCCTAAAGCTAATGATAATCTTCTAGGTGCGTTAAGAAGGAAAATCGAGGATATTGGACGATGAAGCAATGTGATGACGAAAAGAATGATGATGATCTTATCCGTGTTTTATGAAAGAAAATCAAGAATATCAAAGGTGATGCAATGTAGGTCAAAGCACACGAAAAGTAAACAAAAAAAGGCAAAAATGCGTGTTTGTAAAGAGCGTAATTTTGTAACAGTTGTTCAAGAATTTAATATCGTATCAATTGAGAGTTAACTCACTGAGCATGGCTTCGTCTCATGTGAATATTGTCGTATTTCCGAGAGAAATTGGACAATAAAATATAGATTAATAATTGTTGTTATCATAATTCTGTAAGAATTTCGACAATATTGTCGAAATGCCGGTAGAATTTCGAAAAATTTTGAAATTTTACCCGAATATTCGACATTGCCGAAATTCCGATGGCAAAATTCTTATTGTCGAAATTTCATAGAACCGTCTGGAAAATGAATGTACAAAACGTGATTTAGGAAAACATATTGTTAAATATTATGGTTTAATTAGTGCTCAAACTGGATATGAAATTCAAGAACTTATTTTGAAAGTATTTCGTTATTGGTCACAACATGGTTTGTCTCGACTTTTTTCATTTCTCTTTTTGCATTTGAATATAAATGCATATAGGTGGTGTTTATTTACTTAGTGGTACAAATGTTGGAAAAAGTAGTTTATTTAATAGTCTTATTGATTCTGATCTTTGCCATATTCATGCACTTGATTGTATTCAACGTGCAACTCAATCAAATCTTCCTGGTAAGAGATTTATTATGAAATTTCTTATAGTTTTATTTTATTATTTTAGGCACAATAATGAATGTTCTTCGTTTTCCAATCCAATTACGAACTGGAAAAAATCAATTTATGCGTGAAGAACGTTTAAAAGAACGCGAAGAAAATGAAATTGTTCCTGATGAAAATAGTAATTCAATTGAAAATGAAACAAATATTGATCGTATGTTTCTTCTTTGCCTTCTAAGGAGTAAAATATTAACGACAAATTGTTTAGAAAATGTTGAATCAACAGTAAAATGGCCTCGTCGATTTGAATCTGAAATGAATTTATCAAAAAGTGGTGTATCATATACATATTCATCTGGTGAAAATTCTTTTTATGAAGATCGTTCATTTGAATCAAGTGAACATGATTATATAAATTATCGACAAAAGAAAATGCGAGCTTTTAATCCTGATTCATATAAAGATGAAAAATAGCTTTATGATACACTTGGAGTTATTTTATCTGAACAAGTACGAAACAAATATTTTGTTTTTATTAAATTTTAATCTATTTTTTATTGAAGATGATTAATAAATGTAGTAATCAAAAAGAACTTTCATTTTTCGATCATCAATCAACTATTATTCGATCGGTGAATATTTTACTAAATAGCGAACAAACGATACTAATCGGTGGAATTGCAAGAATTGATGTTAAACATGTTAATTCATGATATGTGTCTTTTCTTGTTTAGTAATTGTCATTTTTTTTAGATAAGTCATGATGCTCGAGCAAATCTTTCTTTAATGACAACATCTCGTTTACCAATTAATGTGATAGAAACAAAAGATTTTGAGCAGTTTTATGAAAAAACTCTTGGAAAAAATCAATTTGGAGTAAGGAATTCCTTTTTCTTATATATAAATGGAAAAGATAAATTTTGTAAAGGCTCCACAAAATCATATCAATGGTCGTCTTCAAGATCCACATCAACTTCGTGGACCAACTATTGAAATTCTTGGCACTGGACAAGAAGAAGCCGCTGGTGATATTGTTTTGTCTTGAGCAGGTAGAGATTTTTCTTTTCTATTAGATTTATATTAGACATAACGATGTATTCGGAGATCGATCTTCACCCTACTTTCTCTTGGGGAATATCCACATTCAACATTCTCGATTTTCAGTCATATCCATTCTCTTTAATCAACATACTGTGTGAATAAATAGGATTAGAATTTTTGTTGTTTAGAGTCTGTCTTGTATCATCAATTCATTGTCTTTTTTTTCCATGATTTTTATATAAACTCGCTAGACGATGGCCTTAACTTTAGGTTGGACTAGTGTTCAATGTAGTCGTGATCGATATGTAATATTTGATGTAATGACACCAGATAGTCTTGGGATTCATCTATCGGCAACCACCATTACTTAAATATTTATTTCATTTACATGGGTCATATATAGAATAAACACCATTGTTTAACAAACATATCTATGTAGAAGATCAACAACAAAATGAAGATAATGATAAATATCAAACAAATGAACTTGAAATGATTATCAATAACAAACTATGGAAAGATGAACGAATTAAACATCGACGACGAGCAAAACGTACATAATTTATTTGTGTTTTTTCCGTTTTCTGATAATTAAAATAAAAACAATAAAGTGAATAATTTGTTCACTGAACAACCAACTAATGTCAAATTAAACCCGAGCAAAGACAAAACAAAAGATCTTTGTTATCCAAAACTAACAGATTAAGTGTATATAACCCTATTGAAATAAGACACAAATTCTCAAAAAAAATGGAACAGTTAAAAAGAAAACTAATAGGCAATAAAACATTTAAGCTTAATATACAAAATAAATTTACCATATGAACTTGTATACTTGGTCGATGTAATGTTAGTTGACGATTAACAAGAACATAATCACCAGTTCGAAGATGTCGATAAACTCTTTTAGTAGACATTAATGCTGTATTACTATGTTGTTTTTCTCTTGTTAATAAAAGTTTACTAACAGCAGTTCGTTGTCATAAATTATTTGGTAATAAACGACGTATTGTTCCATCGTCAAGTTCAACAAAATTTGCTCTAAAACAATAAAATATTCTTGCTCTATATTCATAAAACGAAAAAGAATTTGTTTTTCTTTTACCCAGGATGAACATCTGGTCCATTAAGAATTAATTGACGTAATTCATGAACATTATACGGTGTAACTAATTCTGGATAAGTTAATTTTTTCGAAAATACTTCCCGGTATTCCAACTTCATAGATTGCAATAAATGGATCAGGTGATATGACTGATCGACCAGCATAATTTACTCGTTTACCCATCATATGCATACGAAATAAACCTTCTTTTTTCTCAATTCCCTTTTATTTTAAAAAATGGAATTAGTATTAAAATATTTTTTTAAATTTCAAGAAGAATAAATCATTAACATACTTGTCGAATACCTTTGGCTACTCGAGTACCACTTCGATTATCTAATGAACTATCAAATATAGAATTAACAGTAATTTGCATTTTGAGCCAAAGATTATTAAGTTGTTCTTCATTTGTTGCACCGCGTAAAGTATTAGTTAAAGATGTTCGACTCTAAATCCAAAGAAAAAAAATTGTTAATGCAATGTCGATACCATTAAAGTGTGAAATGCTGTGATTCTGCTAGTTGCTACTGTACAAGGGAACATTAATCAATATATATGTTTCAATTTATGAATTCCACCTACTAATAGTACATGCCGATTATGGAAAATATCAATCACAATGTATTAGAATATGATAGAAAAGTGAAGAACAACTATCATACTAATCCCACAGTTAGATCTCATGATTAGATATATCAGATGAGTGGAAACGGGGGACAATCTCTCAAACTTCTTTTACTACACTTCAAGACTCCTTTTAGATCATGTTTCACAAAAACATTAGAAAATACAAAGGCTAATCAATCAAAATGTATTACAGTTATTGATGTTGATGTGTCTGTGGTTTGTTTATCTTTCATTAATAAAATTTCCTTCATTAATTAGTTATCTTGAATAATTGTTGAATATTGAACCGTTTTTGGATTTTCAAATTTTTGATTATTAAATGACAATACCTTAAAGAAGATAAATTTTTTGTTTTTTAAGTTTTCTTTTCGAAAAATAAGATTAAGTACATACGGGACGAAATTTTGATGGCAAACCAGGTAGAACTTCAAAAAAGAATAAACTTATTGGATTATTATGAACATGCGTTATTGAATGTTGTGGTGATCGTAAAGCAGCTAAATAAATTGTGAGAACTTCTTTTTCATTTGTCCAAATTTTTTCGAAATGTTTTAATACATATAATGGTGTTAAATACATTTGACTGGACATCATTTCTGTTAACATTTCTTCATCATCATTATCATCATCTATTGCTTCATCATTATTGTTCATTTTTTTTGATTACCTATCATCAAAAGAAATAATATTCGTCAATTGAAATAAGAATTTTATGTTGCATTCATATCTACGTAGTATTATGTTGTGTAGATTCAAGTAGACTATCGTGCATATAAGCTTCAGTAAAGACTTCAAGACTCTATGGCATCATCACTAGAAATCAACGAAACTTACTCGATCTCATTGTGTCCAAAATTGAAACTAACCAGACGATTTTACACACTGATTAAACAGTTTTCAAGCTCATATCTTACTAGTAATTAGGACTGTAGGAAGTAGAAAGGATTTGGTTCCTGTAAACCTTTCCTAACATTATCACCGTTAATGATTATTTAAGTATCCTAAAAGTTTCAAATAAAATTATTTCACTTTCGTCTGAAACTCGTTAATTTAATTGTTTGCTAAACATCTTATAACAAGGAGAAGTTTTATGACAATGGTGATTATGTCGAGAAGAAGATCTATGAGAAAAAACTTTCAATGAATTGATGAAATTATCTGATACGAAAAGGCAATTTTGGATATGTAAAATTCTAATTTCGTACTCTGCAAAACAGCTTAGTATGCAGTTGTCCAGAATTGTATGTTGAGCTGAGGAAAATATTTCAAATTTGACATAAAGAGTGTTCTGTATTCAATAAATAATAGTTAAGTTTATTTTTTAATATGCCAACAATGAAACGAAAACTTATTTTCTTGATTCTTTTACCTAAACAGGTAAACTTAGTAATAGTTCTACTCGATTACATTACTCAACAGGGAACGGCTACATTGTAAATTGTAAAAATTTAGAATAGACAGAAGGGAAATAATGGAAAGTGCTAAAACGCGAACCTACCAAATATCAGAGAACATATATGTGAAAACGAAAATAGCCAGTGCATCATATAGTGAACGTAATTACAGCAAAAAAAAATTGTACAAATAAAGTTTCCTAGGCATAACTAAACTAAAGATCAGTAATAAAACTGTTAAGTCGCTGTCCTAACTTCTTTCAATATTTGATCATTTATCTGTTTTACACGTTATTCTTTATTAGAACTAATAGATTGTTAAATATACTAGATAGTTCGATTTTCATGATTATGTAAAGGATAGTATTAGAATTTGAAAAAAATTCGTTAAATACTTACCGAACATTAGACATGCGTTCTTGATAGACTTTTATGTGTTTATTTGAAACTCCTTGAGAATAAAAAGGTTTTGTATGTGAATCTGCACGAAGTGCACGTACAGGTGTATTACAATTCGGACAAAATTTTTCTGCGAAAATAAATATTAATTGAAAAAATTTTTTATGATCAAAAAAATACAAACTTTTTGTTTTAAATGCTCGTGCTTCAAAATCTTTAATAAACTGTTGTCGAATAGCTAATAAATTTTTCTGTTGTTGATTCTATTTTAGTTGATGATGGTGGATTTAATTTCATATGTTCGTTGATCTGTTCATAAAATGTATCTAAAGATTTCTTTTTTCTAATATCCATATTTTATAAATTGATTGTAAATTATCTATTTCATTTGTTTGACCATGTTTTAAATAAAGCATTTGCATATTAAATAAATATTTTTCTACATTTGAACATTAAATTGTATGACAATGAAGACAACAACCACGAAGAACCTTGCAAATTTCAAAAAAATATTAAAAAAAAAAGATTGAAGAAAATTTATTTATTGTGGTTTACATTAACAACATTGAAGAATACGGCATTGTAAACACGTAAAACAAGTGATATATGTCCAAGATGCCCTGAACAAGCAACAAATTCCTTGATCACAAGTAAAACAACGATCATTTTTTTTATCAAAGGGTCCTAATGCTAAATCATATGGACTATCAGATATTAGTACACCAAGACGATCAATTGCATGTGATGATGTTAATTCTTTTACCCTTAAACAACGAATTTCTTCAGATATATAATTACTAAATAGAAGACTACCAATTGTGGTATCGGATGGATAATAATTGATTGTCTCCATCTTGTTTTCTACTTTGAAAAAAAATAAATCAACTAAAAATTCATCGAATGGGTTTTCAGATCCCTCTCAAACGTAAATGGTCCATTAGAGAGAACCGACCAGAAATTATATGGAAATTTTTGTATATAAAAAACTGAAAAAATTTCATTTTAATAAACGAGAAATTTGATTTATATCAAAAATGAAAGTTTTAATTTTTCTGAAAGAGGACGCCACAAGATGTAGTCATATGTTTTTTTTGTTACTTCGCAATTCAACAGAAACATTTCCTTTTTTTCATAGCTAACATTCTCTTAACAAATGTATTTAGAGTAGATGCCTCATATATGTCAAACTAGAAAGTTAAATTCAAGTATTCAACTTTCAAGTAGATACCAAGTGATTTGTATGGTTTTCAACAATATTTTAAGACAGGTTTAGAGGATTTGAGCTTGTTTTAAGAGTTGTAACTCACCATTAACAAAACATAATCGGTGTTTTTTGAAAAGTATTATTTTGATTTACTTGAAAATGTTTTTTATTGATTGATTTTCTAAATCGTATTATCAACAAGTTGTATATATTGCTATTGGATCATATTCTCTTGGAAAAATTCATTTATTATCACCTTGTATTTGTAAATAAAAAGAATTCTGGACTGGAAACCAAGTATTTTTGTTAATTGAATTTTTTTGAAATAAAAACTGATTTTTTTCCCTCAGATTATTTCAATAATTCTTCTCTATATTCAAACAATTGAAGAAGCACAAATTAATCTCGATATTAAATCAAAATTTTCAATGAAAGTAAGAAATTCAAAAAAAAACAAAAAACAAAATAATAATGAAAAAAATTTCTTTAGTCATGATCATCAAAACTAAATGCAACAAATATTGATTTAATGGCTGATAGAAATGTTATTATTCGTCATCCTCATCTTTTATCAAGTTTAATTGATAAATCACATCGTGGTTTAACACTTCAATCTGTTGTTCATTGTTATTATGAATTATATGGAAAAGGTTGTGCTGCTGATCTGGTTACTACATTTTCCAAATAATTGACACTTTTTTTTTAAGAATATTATTGAGGTTTTATAGTTGGAATTGAAGGTAAAATATAATCTCTGAATTTAATTTATTTCTAAAAGAAAATTTATTTCGATGTTGTTTTACTTCCGTTTGGTGTATAATATCGGCGTCGATCGATTAATAAATGAATGTCGTATTCACGCTGGTTGAAATGCTTTACAAAAAAGTTTTTCTCTTCCAGAAAATTCTGATGAAGATATACTTATCAATGAATTTGCTAAAGCATTTTGTTCTTCTAACATTTGATGAACGTATATAAAAAGAAATGAATATGATTTGTAAAACACCAATTGATGAATATTAATATCAAATTATTAAATAATCTATGTCTCATTTATTCAAACAATTTCCAGATAATAATTTACAATTTTGAATTCAATCAAGTGCCAAAAATATGTCAAAAGTGCATCGTTTTAATTGAATAGATCGAATCTGGTCGATTGCAAAGATGGTGATCTCTAGATGGCTTTAATCACTATTGTTAAGAGAGGGTGTGGGTGTGGGGTGTGGGGTGTGGGTGTGGGTGGGTGAGGGTGTGGATGTGTGAGCGCGAGTGTGGGGTGTAGGTGCCGGTGGCTGCAGATAATACCCACACCCACACCCATCCTTATCATCTGCGTTATCATTGTCGTATTCGTTATGATTGGTTATAGAAAATATGATGTTCTTCAGATTTGGAACATCATATGGTATGCTGATGT